TCTCACTCCAGCCTCCACCCTCCCCGCTGCGACTCCTCCTCTCCTATGCCTCTGTTCCTCCTGTCCCTACTTATCCTGCTCCTGCTGCTTGAGGACGCTGGAGCCCAGCAAGGTGAGTGGTCCCCGGGGAACGCGCGGCGCGTGGAACCCCGGGACGGCGGGGGCGCGGGGAGAGTCTGCGGGGCGCCAGGTCCCCGGGCCTTTCGCCGAATCTGCGACGCGCCGGGGGCGTGCGGGGCGCTTCCGTGCGTGGGCAGACCTGGCCGGGCGCTCGAAAGGTTAAGCGGCAAAGGTGGGATCAGCCTGTTGTCCCCCAACTTGGCGCGACTTTACTTTTTTGGCAGGGCCATTCATTTTCCTGAAAAGAGGGAATGAGACCTTGCTATCAAGGCCTCCTTTTTGGTATTGGATTCTTTTGGGGGGGGGGAACCTTTGGGAGGAAAAAAAAGTTTTGGATGTGTGACGCCTAAAGTTAAGCTAAGTGGAAGGATGGACAGTAGAAAGGCAAGGTAATTAAATAGCATTTTAAACCTATTAAAGGCAAGTGACGATAATTGCTATCTTTTGTGGAAATGCTCAGGTTCCAAAGCGAATGAAATTGATTCTGGTTACCTCTGAACCTTGATTTCAGACAGTATCCTCGACAGTCCCTGCCTATTAGGATGATGGTCTAGATGGCCAGGGTCAGAGGCTGGCTCTGACCCGGTGCAGCCTCTATGTTGCCTAAATGGAACGTTCCACGTTAAAAGGATAAGTCCATCCACAAAGGGACAAAACTTTTTTTCCATCTACAGTCCTTGGAAAACCTATTCCAGAAGCAAGCAAAATTGTTTATTGAATACTCTGATGGAAAGAGAATGCGGAGCTTATTCACGCTCCCCCCTTTTAGTACTATTTTTCAGGCAGTGAACCGCAGTTTTTGAATCAGTTTGTCATCAGTTATTGAACACATCTTCCATTGCATTTCCCATTTCATTGCAGTGAGAAGTGTTGTTACTTATTTCTGGGAAGATTCTTTTTTAATCGATCAACACATTTCCCATTTCATTGCAGTGAGAAGTGTTGTTACTTATTTCTTGGAAGATTCTTTTTTAATCGATCAACACGTTTAAGTCCAGCAACCATATGTTGCTCTCATGTGGTTTTCGATAAAGTATGGAATCATGGCCATAAGCCTGTCATTATGACGATGCTGAAACTGACAGGCACATGGAAATATAATATCATTAACAAGGATAAAACATATTTGGTAAACTGACCTCTTTTAGATGTAGGGACAGATTTATTCAATGTAGATGGTTAGCAGTCAGGTTTTAGTTAGATAATCTTCGGTAAATTTTTGTACATCAGCCCTTAAGGAATTAGTGTGAAATCCTTCTCTCCATTGAAGTCTTAGAACCTATGCTTGTCTTTTCCTCCTAGTAGGAAAAAAACAAAAGAAAACATAAACACATACACAGGCTTACATTTACTGGGGCTTGCTTTGTAGCAGGCACAGTACCAAGTGGTTTACATGGATTAACTCAATCCTCACCACAACCGTTTGAGATAGACGTTGTTATCCTATTTCAAACATAGGAAACAGACCAAAAAAATCTAAGGTCTCTTGATACAGAAAGGAAAATAACTACATAAGCAGAATGCTCTGTTTTGCTTATTTCCAGATCTGAAAGTATTTATATCTTTTTTTTAAAAAATCTTTGAACAGTATGGAATCAGTTATATGTCTCCCCCCATATAAGACAATTACCTTGTTTATAGAATTTCTCAAGCCTGACCTAATTAAACATGCAATGTTACATTTTTTAAAAGATTTAAGTTTTTACCAGAGTGTTTTAACAAATACATGTTTGTCTTTCACAGTGTTATATAAACACCAATGCAGATTAAACACAAATAGGAAAGATGTTGGTAATTTAAAAGACGTAATTTCTAGTTCTTCTAAATTGATTGGGTAAATATTATTAAGTCATTTAAATTCTTCATATCTCAGTTTTCTACGTGGGTGATACAAGAATACCTGTTTTTTTGTTGTTTTGTTTGCTTTTTTTAAAAATTTTGTTTTTCAATTACAGTTGACATTCATTATTTTGTATTAGTTTCAGGTGTACAGCATAATGATTGGATAGCCGTGTCCTTTACAAAGTGATTATCCTGCCCTCCCATTCCCCCATATTTCAAGTACCCACCTGGCACCATACATAGTCATTAAAATGTTATTGACTCCATTCCCGATGCTGTGCTGTACTGTACATCCCCGTGACTATTTTATAACTACCGATTTGTACTTCTTAATCCCTTCATACCTATATCATAACTGATAGTACACTGGAGTTTTGCAAAGGGGAAAGCATAATATAGCTGAAACTGATTATCATTGCTAATCTTGAGCTTACTAAACTATCTGACAGAGTAAGGACCAGTGAGATATATTTCACCTGAAAATTCAGGAATTGTGTGGGATTTGAATTCCTTGATTTTTAAAAATTGTTTTTTCTTATCCAAAGGACCCCAATATGGACTGTGATGGAATTGCTTTTAAACTAGTCTTCCTAGTCTAACAGATGTGCTTGAAGGGTGCACTTGTGTTCCTTGTATAACCTGAAAAGAAGTGTAATTTCAGAATGAGAAGCATTGCTTTAAAATACTATAGAATTTTTAATAATGGGAATGTCTACGTGTTGTAACGTTGAGTTACAAGCTGGAGCTTTTACTTTACAGTAAGTATTAGGAGAAAGACTGGAAAGAAATGAAATGATAAGTTTTCTTTTGCTAGTATGGTTGTGGATAATTTCTTCTTTCTGCTTCAGATTTCCTGCAGTTTGCATATAGTCAGAATTAAAAATACGCTATGTAAAATGTTTTGTAATAGATTTTTTTCCCAGCCAGCCTAGGTAAAATGCATGTAATATACAGAGTGGGGCCAAAGTAGGTTTACAGTTGTTCGTATGGAAAATAATACAATCATTAATAAATAATACAAGAATAAACTCTGTTTTGCGTACTCATAAGTGTAACCTACTTTTGCCCCAGCCTGTAGATGTTGAGGTAGAATGGTGCTTCGGGCTCTTTTTTTTCTTTCGGACATCATTTTGATGTAGTAGGGGATATTACCTTTATTTCAGTGATGCCATGCATAGCTATTCCTCAGCAGGTTTTTGCTGACAAGAGTGCTTTTTCTTTTAATTTGGCTCAGAGTAAAATTTATCACTGGTCTGAAAACTTACCAGCCTTTCACAGCAGAGATGTTTTTTGATTAGTCTCATATCATTAATCTATTTATAAGTTGATTCTATTTATTCACATCTATTTTACTATCGTGTTTTAGGTACCGCTTATATTTTTGTATTTTTGATTTATAAATTTCACATTAAGTTCACCTTCAAAATAATTTTCTTATTGAAAATATTTTTTCCTATAAAATGTATGTCTTTCTAGAAAACTTAAATTGGTGAAGCTTATGCTGATTGCATATTAGCTACTGTAATAAATTTAATAGGAAGTCAAAGGTCTCCAGTGAATGAATTATGTCTCTGATTTACATTATGACTGTAGGAATTTGTATCACCTCATCTCAGGAGGTCAGGTTCCTCATTTGTATTTTGGAAGGCTTGCCTACCTTCTGGGTTAGAATATTATTTGAATGTGGAGTGAATTTTAAAATCCATTAAGACTGACCTGTTTATGACTGTTAATGTGAAATGTTTGTGAAGATACTGATTTTTGTTTGCTAATTTAATAAACCTATGAAACAAATCGGGTTCTTTTCAAAAATTTCAGTTCCACAATGGTTTATGGAACTAATGTGTGGCTGGGGGGCGGAGAATTATGTTCTGTCAAGTAATGCTTTTTTCCCCAATGATGCAGGGAAATATTTTTGAACAATATTTGTGAATTGTCAGAATTGAAGAGCACTTTTCTCTCTGCAAAGAATATTTGTAATTATTTCTAGTATTAACATTAGGTTAATTAAATTTAGAATTTTCCATTGCCTTTCTTGGTGTAATAAAGCAGTAAGATTCTTTATATAGTTTTGTTTAGAGGCAAAAATCAAAACATCTTTTTCTACTATATTTCCAATTAATTTTGCACAATGGAAATTAGAAATATAGCACATATTCTACATATGCTAGTGAGCAGATTAAAATCCACATTTTAAAAATGTATAAGTTAAAATTAATTGTAAAATTTCAGGTTATAGAAGATCAACATAAAAAAATCTTAAAGTATTGAATTGGTATAAATGAAAATACCAGTACTAGAATTAAAATGACAAATGAATTAATGTCCAGAAAGCATATTGGGATTTCAGTATGATGAGGAAAAGCTAAATTTACAGAGGTAGATTTTAAATTTCGGACTATACTTAATAAAATGAACCTGGAATGTGAAAGCTCAGGTGGTAATAATATTGAGCATTAATTGAATGCATGCAAATAGATAGTTTCTATTTCTACTTCTTGATGAGTTGGAAGAGTGTGGAATGATGACAAAATTAAGGGAATTAGGAAAAGCTCTATAGAGAATGATATTTGCTAAATGTGTTGAAGTATGAAGTAGACACCTTGATAATTTTTCTTGTGTGGCTCATAAATTCACTTTATTTTAGAACGTTATGGCCTTAGTACTTTATTTATTTTTAAAATATTGAACAGATAACAGTGATCGTTACTCAAAACCAAAAACTTAAATGATAATTATCCACAGTTCTACCCCCTAATCTATCAACTTATAATTTTTATGTTCCTTTCTAGTCCATATTTACACACCTACATAATCTTACATGGATGTAATTTTTGTGTTATGTTCTGTAGAGATGTCTTGTAAAAATTTGTAAGCTAACACATAAGCTTACTTACAAAATACAAGTCAGAAACTTCAAAATGTAAAAATTCCTCAGAAGATATTTATTATTTATTATGTAATTACTATATTGTTCAGAACTGCTATTACATTATTTTCTTTATTCCATTGGATTAAATTCTTCACTGAGGATAGGATCCTTGAGAAAGTACAGTAAGTCCTCAATGACATTGATAGATTCTGAGACTTACAGTGAAATGACTTGTTAACAAAACCAGTTTTACCACAGGCTAATTGATACAAAGTGTT